AAATAACACAGAACCTCTCTGTATATTTTGAAATCACTGTTTCTTCCAAGCAAAGAAGATAAAAGGAGGATCACAAAGAACTTGATGCCTTCTGAGGCCAGATATCAGCCCTTACTAAGGGGGCACGGAGCTCTGACCCACAGACACCGTGATTTAAAAAGAAAGACTGCCTTACTTCAGAACAGATCCATGAGCCCTCACCTTTAGGTGGCTTCTCAAAAAAGCAAGAACGATTGTTGTTAAAAACGATCAACAATGGCTCATTTTTGTATACAAGAATCAAATTTTCCAGCTATCTCATGGTTATTCTCTGAAGGATTGAAAGTTTTTAACTTAAATTTTAGTTGGAAATATTCTTAAAATGTGATGTAAAGTATCATATTCGTGCTTTGTTAAGCAGGATGTAGTCATTTTAAGATATACATGATGAGTCCGGATCCTTATTTTATATATTAATCACTAAATTATGCTTTAATGCAGTGATTCGTTCAGGGTTACCGAGTTTCAGTGGAATGTTTACACCTATTCTAAATGACCAGAGACAGCTGTTTCTTGAGGTGATGCTTCTAAATTTTTTTATCTCTTTCCCAGAGACAAATACTTGCTACTGCCAATTTGCCTGTCTTTAACCTTGCCTAAAACAATTTTTAATTACTGTTTCAATCTCTTGAATAAGCAAATTATTTAAAACACACAAACTTTCACTCCAGTTTGACAATTAAATAACAAATAAAAACTTAGTAAAATGAATTAAAACCTAGTAATAAAAGGAACCTCATAATGATAATTGGAATTCATCTTTAGCTTATAGAAACGCCTTCAGCCGAAAATCTCTGTTCAGCTAGGTACAGAAACATTTGTTTCAATCCAAAATCTCTATAATTAATATCCTCCCTCACTATTTATGGAAGTGGTAATATTTAAATTTAAATATGGTCAACATCTGCCTAGGTACCCATATTTAAGCATCCTAACTAGAAATTACAACAATAAAAATTCATCTTCTTACCAGTTTTAGCATCAGCAGAAGTCTGAAGAATCTTTACCATGTAGCTTAAGCTGTCAGGGTTGCAATTCAGTAATTTTGGCAAGTAATAATCAATCACGTAACATTTTTGATCCAGATTTCCTTCACACAGTATAAAAAGGAGAGGAGAAACCCAAGTCTCATGCCACTTATCAATCCAAGTGTTGTCGACAGCCTGGGATTTCAAACAACTCTTATGGTTTTTAAACATAGTTTCCAAGAGGTCACTTGCATAAGGCACCAATGACTGATCCCCCATCACCTCTAAGATTTGCGATAGAACAGTTTTAGCTAATGCCAAAATATGTTCAATTCCTATGTACTCTACTAAACAACCAAGGCATGTGTACTTTCCTTTACTATGCCATTCCAATCGCAGAAGACTCTCAGTCAGTTCCAAAATGAAATGATCAGTGGCCAAATCTGACTTTTTTGGCTCTTCTATAGTGAGCTGGTGCATTTGGAGAATATTTCTGAATATGATTTTGGTCTGGTGTCTCAGAGCATCCAATGGATGTTCCCAGTGGGTATAGACATATTCCAAAAGTCTCCTAACTATGCTTGAATTCCCATTCAGACTGTCCTTTAGGCTTGGGGAACTTGATTCAAGGACATGTATGGCAGAATTAGTCCAACACACCAAAATTCTAGACAGAAACATTTCCAGAGTTGACTCCTTGATCCTGAAGAAAAATGAGCCATGTTACTATAAACTGACCAGTAAAAGTAATTTCATTTTATAATCATGTAGACTTTAAACATATAAAACATAAAGAATGATCATAAAATCGAATCATTATTAAATTTATAACAACACAAAAAAAAACAACAAACAAAGCCAAAACAGATCTCAAATTTGTACATGAATCTTTCCATTTCATAAAAATTAATCCAAAAAAGAACACAAGGAAACTTTGGGGGGTGATGGAAATGTTCATTATTTTAATTGTGATGATGGTTTCCCAGGTGTTTTAAAATATACTGAGGGGATAGGACAGGAGAATATTAGAGAGAATGGGGTTTTTTAGGGGATAATGAAAATATTCTAAAGTTGACTATGGTGATAGTTGCCCAACCCTACAAACATACTAAAAAAAAATTCAATTACATACTTTAAATAGGTGAATTGTATGGAAATATAAAGTATGTCTCAATAAAGCTGTTATAAAATAAACAATAAAGAAGTTTTTTGAAGAAGAATATAAAAGCAAATATGCGTATGTTCATATATGACTCAAGAATTGTGCTGTACACCAGAAATTGACACACTGTAAACTGACTATACTTCAATAAAAATATATACATACCAAAAAAGGAACTGTACATCATAAATGGATGAATTATATGGTATATGAATTATATCTCAATAAAGCTGTTTTTAAAAAGTAGATTTAAATTACATTGAAATATGCACAATTTACACCAAAAAACCCACAAAGTACAATCCAATGGAGTTAGAAGACCTGGTTATACATCTGGAAGGGACATGACCCTGAGGGCCACTTGTTGCATCACTGGTTGAAGATGGGAAGTCACAAGAAGAAAGGGGTCCAAATTTCCACATCATAGGAGGAGAGCTACCCACCGACCAGGAACACCTGTTTGGACACTGTGGGAGAGAAGCATAAACTTGTGACAATCTACTGGAACTTGCTGTTTCTTCTACCTAGAAGCTAGTATTATCTTTGTTAATAATGCATTATTTTATTTAGGCCTGGAAACGGCTAAAGTGGTGCCTTTCTTTTCGCTGTCTTTATGAGTTGGGTGTTCTGTGCTTCACTACTCATCGGCTCGATTTTACCCATTTATGTCTTGGGTTTGAATTTGAAAGCCCTGATTTTCCATCACTGCCTTCCTCAGTAGTAAACAGTTTTATCCGAAGCCTAGCTAAAATCCAAGAACAAAGACTATTTATGCATCTATTCTCGTCCTGTTCCTGTTTTTGTGGCCTAAAGGAGACAGAAAACAGGAAAGGGAAGACATGACTTCTCAGCCGAGCTCATTTTATTCCCATGAAGAAAAGCAGCCTTTAGTGTTGGTAAGGCTAGCCCAAAGTGTCTCTGGATGTGTAGGCCAATAAGCAACAAAGTAGACTCTCAAAACCAAATTCCAAGATGGGAAGTGGTCTGGGAAGCTGGTCAAGGATAAATAACTCTGAGTCCACCTTCTCACAAGTGCCATTTTCCAGAGGCAATAGCGTTATAGCACGTCTGACCCAGAAATAAAGTCCTTACAAAACATTGGGACTAGTAAAGGAGAAGCTCTTTAGACTGGGCATTGACCCCAATCCTCTTTGCCTCAGTACTACTACTCAGTAAATACTTATCAAGCATCTGCTGTGTGCAAGTCACTGTGCTTGGTTCTAGCTGTGAACAAAGCAGGCTTAGCCCCTGCCCTTGTTGGAGTTTTAAGTCCATTCAAATGTGCTACAAGGGAGAAATAAGGAAGGTATGTTCTGTTCTTGTTGCCAAGAATTCTACTTTTCTGATGGTTATCTGAATTGAAAACATCTTCCTGTTTAACATCATGAGCAGTTTGAAGGAGGTAAGAGATGTGATATTTAAAGTATTCACATCCGATGTCCTGTGGGTCACAACAGCTGTGTGTTATGTGTTTACTGGCATTTTTTTTCTAATAAGTTTGTACATACTTTAGCACACGAACTATATTTTTAAATCATTTTCATTGCCAAGGACACTGGTAAAACCTCAATAAATACTTAAGTAATTTCTCCAAATAGTTCTGTGGCCAGAATGCCTGGGTACTATTTCTGCTGGCGTGAAAAAAAAACAGCTGCCCTCTCCTATTAACCTTTCACTATTCATATGAGAATCATGGAAATGCATCCCACTGACTGTGAAAAGAGCTCAGTCAATCCTAGAGAAGTGTCTTCATTAAACCTGTTTTTAGTTTAGACTCAAATCTCCTTCTCACACTGTTGCCAGCATCTCCATCACATTTCTAACTCTTGGAAATTATTTCTGGGTGTCTCCTCCTACTCAAAAACAGCAGGGCAAGTTTGCATGCTTGCCCTTATTTCAAGAGAGGGGACTGTGAGGCTACATTCATCAATCACTCCTTAGAAAGTAACGAGAGAAGTAAAATCTTTGGGAAATCAATAGTAAGGTGAGTGGGTGTGCAGGAGACAGATGGCAGAATCTTGAAAATCAGAGTAATGTCAATGACAGAACCTACCCTAGATATTATTTGAAAATATCATAGGGAATGTTTAAAATATCAAGTTCTGAAAAGAATACTGAGTCTAGTTATCAGAAAAATCTTTGGAACTGACCTGACTCTTCATTTGTATATTGATAGCAGTTCTTTCCAAATGCTTAATTAAATTTTAGTCATTAGGTATCCCAAACTACGTACATACACATTCTTCAGAAAATACTCATTTTGTGAAAGGAGAGTCTGATTTTATTTAGATCTTTATTTTGTGGCTCCATGAGAAGTTACTTCTATATTACCATCAAATACTTAAAAAGTGCATATATCTATCGGAAGTTTACAAAGATATACCACCTTCTGGTATAGTTGGAGGTATCTGTAATGTCTTTGCTAGCCTGTAAAATTATAATAATTGGTTTAGACGGAAGGCATGTCATAAGAAAGAGGGTTTTCATTCCTTACACCCCTTAAAACTATTATCAGCTTATAATAGAGCAAATGTAGTAAGACCTGTACATTCCTAAAATTTTATTAGTTATTAAAAAACAACCAACTTCAGTGAGGTCTGAAAATTAATCAGATTAATCATCTTCTTTTTCTAACTCTTGCAAACTTTTCGGAATAGGAACAGGTAGTAATACCATTAAGTTGATGTCATAATTAAAGATAAACTATAAAGTCAGATACTCTGACTTTCAAATCAAGATTC